TAATAATAGCACTGCGTATTAGCTGGTAATAAAAGAAATATTTGTGCAACTTCAGTGAAATTGGGAGATTTGTATAATTTACTTTCAATTTATATAAGTTGTACAGAATGGATAAAAGATCTGTAATTGTTTAAAAGAAGTGAAAATGTCGTGTGGTCTGATCTATATTTTGTAAAAATAACAAAAAAAAGTTAAATCATGAAAATAATATTTTGTTTTGGTAACTTAGTTTCTGGAATTTCTGCCAGCCTTAAGATGTGATCATGCTTAATCATTACTATTTAATTTTGATGATAACAAAAATCATAAAGTTAATCGTCTCATAATTATTTCCTAATATATATTATCTGACTTATTGCATGCAATTTAATAGGATATTAAGCAATTATGTATTGGTCTTAATAAAAAGGAAAGAACAAATATGTTAAAGTTTATGTGAATTAGAGCATTAACTTCTTGATTGATGACAGAGAGAGGGCCATGTTGTTAAACTTGACATAATTAAAAGGAAATTGGGAAATCACTTCAAGGTTCCTTGTATGAATATCAATTGCCAAAAGCTTTCATGAAATGCTTAAAATATTTCCAAATTTTAAATACATTATTTTAAATATAATTTATGTTAAATTACTAAAATACCCATATTTTGATTTTTACTTAAAAAAAACTTTTTGGGCTAGTCCCCATCATTAGAGGGTTGGCCACTGAAGTGCTCATCAGCAATCGTCAATGTAATAATTTTTGGGAAGGGTGTTGTGAGATTAAAAGCCAAGACCACATGTTTCCAAAATGTAAATGAACCTCATTGACTTTTGGCTTGACTTTCCCCGCCACTCCGTCAACTAGGCTTGATGCCTTACTCTAAAGGAGGAATCCGAATTCTATCTCAGTAACGTTATCTCGCAAACTTTAACACGTGTTTAAATAATATATATATATATATATTGTACATATATTTTAAAAGGTTTCAATAGCTTAGTGACTCATATAATTTTTGGGAACCATATGGTTTTGAATTTTAATCCCTCCAAGACCACCCTTTCCAAAATTATTTTATTGCCAAGCACTTTGATGGCTGGCCCTTTGGTGACGATGGCTGGCCGAGCTCTGGCCATGGCCATTGACAGAGAATATCCTTTTTTTAAGTAAAACAGGGGTGCTTTAATAATTTAATATAAAATATATTTAAAGTAATAGATTTGAGATTTCAAAATATTTTATATATTTTATGAGATCTATTGATAATTGAAATTCCTATAAGGGACTTTGAAGCGATTTATTTGCTTCAACAATTATAATGACACATATAAATTAAAAACAAAAATTAAAGAACAACATGGGACGATCATGAGCTACAAGGAAAACATGCAGATTTAGATCACATGCAGTGTATTTGGTGTAGTGGATAGGAAGTGGGGCGATCCTAACTGTTCATTCTATCTAATAGTCGGGAAGATAGACGTGTAAAAAAGCCTCATCATTTGCAGAGCATTTAAGCATTTTTTTTATTTTGTTGGTAGTTTTTTAGGTTTTAAATTGTGAAGTAAATTTTTTTGTTGAAATAAAAAAAGAAACCATTAGATAGAATAGGTATGATTTTCAGAATATTTAAAAATAAATTGTTAAGATTTTTCATTGTTTTTTAGGAATTTAATTGTGAAGTAAGTTTTTAATTGTTAAAATGAAAAATGAAAGAGCGAATTTTTAATTAGATAGAATCTACATTTCGCATTCATTGTGAAATAAGAATTTTAGGATTTAAATTGTGAAGTAATTTTTTATTGAAGAAAAAATGTGTGTGCTTTATAGATGATAAGATTTTTTATACACCTCTCTTTTACTAACTATCAGATAAAATGACTAGTAGAGATTGCCCCACTTCCCATCCATTGCACCAAATACATTGCATGTGATCTAAGTCTAAAACAAGCATGCACACAAGTATACCAACACTAATTTCAATTCACGAGCTCTTCCAAACGAGAAAGGTGATATTGCTACTAGATAACTAGTTAGCCATTAACAAGCAAAATAAAGTGCTATGATATCAACACTAATTTGAATTCACGAGCTCTTCCAAATGAAAAATGTGATGTTGCTACTAGATAATTAGTTAACCATTAACAAGCGAAATAAAGTGCTATGCAAATAGAGTTTTAATTTATTGTAATTAACTTGTTTAACTTGTAATGAAGTCAGGAGGAGCTCTTTGTTGTTAAAGGAATGAAAATGGATGATCCAAGAATTAGGTTGAAGAAATAAGAGGCAAGGTTGTCCAAAACATAATACATTGAGGGATACAATGGTCATTTTGTTCTTAGTTGACTGCATGTTTCCAACCCTCCAATGAAACCCCATTTTATTACATTTGATGGAAGTTATTATTTTCTTATAAAAGCCTTTTCAGCTCTACCAAACATACAAAAATTGGACTTTCCTCCTCAGTTCCACCTCCATTATCTCTCTTCATCTGTGCCAAACGTGTAGTTAGTTTTTATTCCCCTGACCAAAATGAAACATAAACAAAATTATAAAAGAGTGGCCTTAGTTCTTTTATCAAGCCTATTCTTAGAGGGTTCAACCAACTTGGCTAGAATTAAGAGAGGGATCAAGCTAAAACCAGTGCAGTTCAAAAAGAGAGTTTCAAGGCTGTGATAATTAGCCTTGTAAGAGGATTAATGGATTATAGAGATGGTTAGAAAGAAACTTTTTTTAAAAAAAAACTTTAAATGAGAAAGACACTCAAGTAGTATTTGAATTGATGAATTTTAATTTTAATTTTAATTTTAAATTCTTTATTTGGAAGGTGCAAAAAAATTAAAGATAAAAGATATATGAGTTAATATTTGAAAAATAGAAACAAAATATTAGAAATGATGAGCTTACCTTTATTGTTCAATTGATAATGAGAAACGGGAACAAGATATGAGAAAAGTAATTAATGAGACTAATAGAGACATCGGTATTGAAAACATGAATAAAATGAGAAAGTTGGAGCAGGTGAAATTTCATATTACTAGAGTTTAGAAAAAAAATTAAAATTACAAAAAAAATAAAGAAAAAATTTAGATTCAAATTAAATTCAAATCTAAAGACTTTTATGCATCCAAATAGATAATTTGGTTCAAATCCAAATCTTCTTGTATCCATACTCCCCCCTTAAGAAAGATGAAAATGTGGAATTACAAAAAAATGAAACAAGTGAGATACTAGGAATTATAGAGGATTCTAAGTGAATCTAGAAAAGGAAGACGAGAGAAATGATGCAATGCAAATTCTATTTGCATGGGGTGTGAGATATAGAAATGAAGAAGGTTGATTAAAAGGCCTAACTGTCAAGGATTAATGCTAATCTCCATTTTAGACTCGAAAGTAACTCATTGAAACTTATTTTAAATTGACTTTGTGCTTGTACGATCCATTTCTTGAATGTGCTTCACAAAACGAGCAAACACAAAGTTAAGTGAAAGCAAAATATTGAATCACAAGATAAAATTAAAAGAAAAAATTGAAAATCAAAGACCCAAAAAAAAAACTGACATAAAAAAAAAATTTAGTTGTAAACTTTTTAAAAATTAATTGTAAATTTCTAAAATTTTAATAGTAAAAAATTCTTGTATTTTTTAAGAGTCTTTATTCATCAATCTCCCATTTTAAAATGGGAGAAGGGTAATTTTCTCTTAGACATTCTCTCACAACCAAAGGAAAATGGATGCAATCATAGAAACATCTAGGCCAACGTGTAACACGCTCTTCCAAAGTTCCAAGTCGAGCACATGCACGTATAATTTGCTGTTATGATGTCACTGTACCAGAGCTCATCTGCACCGTCCATGTGCATGGACACGTGTATTAACACACTTCGTGTCAACACTCACCAATTGAGTTTTTTTTTTTAACCCCCAAAATTTACTCAAGTGAGTAGGACATTTTTATCCAACTGTAACTCGGATGACAAAATTTTTTTAACAAACAAATAAAAAAATAATTTTCCTATCAAATGAAAGCAGCAGTGTTTGCTTTATTTGATACTCTCTCTGTTAAAAAATATAAAATATAAAATATTTTTTAAAAATTAGATGCTAAAAAATATAAAACATTTTGTTTTTCGAAATGTAATAATTGTCTTTTTTTAAAACGTACTTATTAATAAATGACTTTATATTTATTATAGGGTATTTAATCGGGATAAATATAAAAAGATAGGGTTAGTTTGAAAGTAGATAATTACTTTATTAAAATGTGAGATTTGATTAAAAATATTTTATATTTTTAAATGGAGGGAATAATTTTTTTTGCCAACATGTTTTATACAATATCAATCAAATTTTTGTACTAATCCTAAACCACTTTTAACAATTAACCATAAATCATAATTATATTAATACAAAAAGAATCCCGTACTTGCAAATGAATTAACTAAAGTGATCACACAATTTTATAACTTTACTTAGCTCAAGAAAGTCAGAAGTTAGAAAAAGAAGGATACAAACCCCAAGTGATCATGAATTTAAATTTAAAAATAAAATGAAGTTAATTTTTCAATCAAAATAATGTAAACATAACTATGAAAAAAATGAAGATAATTACACATGCAGTAAAATAAAATAAAATAAATAGTATATGTATAATTTGTTAGTTTATAAAAGTCATTATTTCTCTAATATGGGGACACATTTTAGTTATTATAATATTCTGAATTTAATAAAAATGTTAACAATGACGTTAAAGTGAAAGGTGATAAATTTGTTTAGTTTTAGACTTCTGGTGATGGGATATATTTAAATTGTTTTTATCGAAAATAATAAAAACAATAATCAATATGTACATATTTAAACTGATTGTAGGAGCACTTTTGTAAAATGGACTGGAAGTAAAAACAAAAACAAACAGATAAATGGTGAAGATTTGGAATCCGTTTTAAAAATAAAAAGAGATATGAACAAATAATAATAAATAATTAAAAAATTACTAAACAACTTAAAATCAAGAGACAAAAATCCAGCTATTCTCTGCTATGCTCAAGAAAATTGCAGAGCGAAGTGGAAGGATTTGGAATCCTTTTGAACTTTCCGTCAAGCTATTTGAGTGAGCACTGATCGGTGTACGGATCTCCACCGTTTGATCTTGTTCCCCTGCTTGTTAGGCTGAAGCCAAAGTTGATTGTTATTCGTTCTTTGTCTTAATCCACGTGATGATTTGTATTTTGCTTCACATGCCGGTACATCAATGAAGGTTGTGCATATGGCATGATCACACTCGGTTTCAGCCGTCACTTTTGGGTTTCGGAGAGTTTTGGGACTGTTCTTGTGGGTGGGGGGTTTTTTTTTTAAAGATTTTTTTTTTTTTGCCCCTTGGTTTTGTTTTCCATTTCGCGTTGGATTGAAGTGATGCTCGACTTCAGGGAAAGTTCCTCTGTGGTGGGATTACGGTTAAGTTTATGGAGGTAGGCAATATTGGGTGGGTGGGCAATATGGAAGAGAATACTGTGCTCGAGGAAGGGGAGGCATGCTATAATAAGGATCGTGACGACAACATTGACCCTGATTCTCTTTCTTACATTGTAAGGGCTATACTTGAATATAATTTTAACCAAGTCCAAGTTTCCCATTTGAATTTGGTTTATTAATTTCCTCTTTCCTAGTTTAAAAATTGTAGGTCTTCTTGTGTTATGGAGAATAAAAAAATTAAATAATGGTGCATTCTAATGGAATGATTGCTAAAACTTTCATCATCATCAATTGTGTGACCTATGAATGTATAATTTTTTTTTTTGGGTTCACGATGAGATATAGAAAATGGAAGAGATATATTATGCAATGTTCATAATTGAGCTTTATTTGCAAGAAACTGATTCAAATTGATAAGCTGAGGGCAATTTACAATTTCTGTAACTGCAATGGAAAAGAAATTCAGAAACACATATTGTGCCGTCTAGAACACCTAGCGGTTCAAACCTTTAACATCTGCCTATAGAAGTTTTTAGCATCATTTGTGAATGGCATAGTTGATTTGTTTCTAAGCAACCGTAATCGCCACGCTTCATGCATATTATCATGACCAAGAAATAATCTTACGTGCTGCAATATTCCCATCTGAGAAAGAGTTTTAAATGCAAGTTTATCTTCTAGATTCTTTTGATATTGTTGATGGTATATCCAATATGCTTTTATATTTTGACCTCTTTTAAAAGAACAAGGATGAAGATAATTTCTCAAATTCTTATTGTTAATCTTCTTGAGGTCCGCCGTAATGATACTGGACCTTAATGATTATTCTTAATTATTAATCAGTTCTGTTTTAAATTTGATGTCAGCTAGTTTTACATTGTGAAAATAATATAGCCATAACTTTCTTTCCTTTCTTGAAGGATGAGAGGATTCAGCATGTTCTTGGCCATTTTCAAAAGGATTTTGAAGGTGGTGTTTCTGCTGAGAAGCTGGGTGAGTGGCATATTAGAAATCATAGACTGTAGAGAGGAATGAAGGAGCTGTCTTTGCGCATGCTAAAGTGATGGCATTTGATACGGATAATTTTTCAGGTGCAAAATTTGGTGGCTATGGTTCTTTCTTGCCTGCCTATGAATGCTCTCCTTTTCGCTCTCATCCAAAGGCTTCTCAAAGGAACTACATGTCACCAAAATCTCCTTCCCATCACCATGAGAAGGTACCTATTTTTTTTTTTTAACTATTTGATTGGGAAGTAATATATGTTGTTGACATATGTCAAGTTCAGAACAACTCCTGTTTTCTTGAGTACTGTGGTTATGTTATTATGCAGGCTGCATCCAACAATTCAACAGCTCCTTCACACGTGCCTCCTTCTACAAGGCGAGGATCTGCTCCCTGTAGCACTAATTCATTACAAAATGCAAGAACATTTTCAGTTGATGATTCAACAAATAAAGGTGTAGGAATTTCTTCCAATATAGGCGCTGAAAGGTGCTCTTTGAATGACGATAGTACTCATAAGTCAGGAAAATCAACTGAACAAAGAACTCTGAAATTTCGAATTAAAATGAAATATGATAACTTAGCTCAAAAGAATGCGGCGATTTATAGTGGGCTTGGGCTTGATATCTCCCCATCTTCATCAATGGAGAACAGCCCTGTAGAAACTGCGGGCATGCCACCTGTGTCTCAACAGATTGGCGAAGAATCTCCAGCTGGCATTATTCAGGTATGAGTGATTTTTTAAAATAAATCTACGCATGCTCAATTTTTGACATTATATTGACTAAAATATTTGTATTTCAACTGTTTATGCAATGGAACAGGCTATGACTTCCTTCCCCATCCCAGGGGGTGTGCTAATGTCACCTCTACAAGACAGTATGCTTTACTTGACAAGAAGGGAAAAAATTCTTGGAGACAGCAAATCTTTGTCTGCTCTTAATGGGCAAGAACATTGTTCCTTGTCTACTGACGAGTCAGATTCTATAATAAGAGAGGAAGATGTGTTGAAAAAGAGAAAAGTGAGAATATTGCATCCAAAGAAAAGATTAGGAAAAACTCCAGAGCGTAAGGATTTTCTCTTTAATGACTTGAAAAGCACCCTTTGTTTAGTTCATTTTGTGATGATGGTGAAAATGCCGAGATAATTGGTAGGGCTTCTGAAGTCTCCAAGAAGGTCAATAAGCATGGGGCAAATAGCAGAATGGTGTCCACTGAAGCAGTGAAGGAGGAGGTGTTGGAGTCAATGTCTGGCCAGGATTTTGAGAAGAGTAGTAAGAAACATATGGGAAACAGTTCCATGCGGAGGGTTATAGAGCATAATTTGGCAAATTCACTCAAAAATAACTGTGTTGGGCCTAACAATAATGCCCACTATAAAGGCCCTATCAATTCTCAGAAGGCTGACGTTGATGTAATAAATTGTTTCATTGAAGATTCTCAAAAAGTTGAGACTAATAGGAAAGGAAAGCCATTATCTGATGGCAAGCACAAGTCTAAAGGGGATCAGAGTCCTAGTAAAACTGGCGGTATTTCAAAAACAGACAGTTTCAAGGCTGGCAGTAATGCAATGGCAAACAATAAAAAGAGCTCCAGCTTTGGTGATGACTCTAAAAGTAAAATGGCTAAAACAAAGTCATCAATGGATAACAATGCTGGAGGCAATAGTTCACATTCATTGAAAGGTGACAAACCAGAATGCATAGTTGATGGAACAGATCCAGTAGATGGGAGTACATATGATGATTTTACAAATGGGAGTGCATTTGAAGTTAAAATGAAGGAAAGGCAAAGCAGTGATAAAATGGACAAGTTGATGTGTGATCCAGGCATAAAAGATGCTTTAAATGCATGTCCTGTTGCTGGAAATAAATCTGCTCTTGAAATGGTTCAAATGGCAGCAGCATCTCAACTTATTGAAGATAATTGGGTTTGTTGTGATCATTGCCAGAAATGGCGGCTCCTACCTGTTGGAATAAAGCCGGAGCAGCTTCCAGAGAAATGGCTGTGTAGTATGCTAAACTGGCTGTAAGTTACTTTCTCATTTCGGGTTTGAGTTGTATTATTCTAGATATTCATTTAATTTAATGTGAATGTTAAAGAACTGGGGACTATTTTATATGCGCTTTTCTTTCCCCTTCCGTGCCTATATATGTCTGTGCCATGTGTTGTTACCTTTTCAATCATTCTTTTGAAATTGCTTCCAGGCCACCTGGAATGAACCGGTGTGACATCAGTGAGGAGATGACAACTAAAGCACTTTATGCCTCGTGTCAAATGTCCAATTCTGAAGGACTGAATAACATCCAAAGCAATGCCTTTGGAGCTGCAATTGGAGTAAGGTCTGCTGATGCTCCACAATTGGGCCACAGTCACCAGAATTCCAGGTCCGATGCATTGTCTGATCAAAGGAAAAAGAAACTTGGTTCCAAGGAAAAGAAAAAGGCAGAAATTTGTATTGACAGTCTTCTGTCCTCTGATTCCACTCAGAACCATGCTGAAGAATCTGGAAAAATTCTACGCCACCAGCATCCTGCAGAGGGAAACCTAATGAGGAAACCTGTCTCTCAACATGGCAAGTTGAATAACTTGATGGAAGTGAAACACATGCCAAAAGAGAAGAGAAAAAATGAATGGAGGTACTGCATTATTTTCAAAGTTGATATACATTATTTGATATATTTTTATGTTGCAAATAATCATTATTTTTAAATGACAAATATTGATGTTATCACAAATGTGCAGGTGATGGAAATCAGGTTAAGTTAAAACGTAAAATGGAAGCTGATAGAAATCAACCTAGAACTCCTAAGAAGCTGAAGACTGGAGATATTTACATTGCTAATAGACAGCTGAGTCTTAGCGTGGACCTGGAGAATGCGGTTCGAAATTCAAGAAATGGTTTTCCTGTGAAGGCTAATGGGGAGGATGTGCAAAAACATGATGAGTATTGCTTATATGTGTGACATAGTGGGAAGAAACAAAGACCAGACTCGTGTCAATGTCCTTGGACTAAAAAACATAAAAAGCTTCCTTGGAGGAATTGGAGGACTGCAGGATGCTGATAAGTCAAAAAATGTTGTCTTCAGGAAAAACAAATTTGGTTCCAAGAAAAGAAAAGAAAAGGCAAAATTTTACTGAAGTGATATAAAATAAATGAAAAGGGAAAAATTCTGCCAGCATTAAAAATCATGCCTGTTGGTCAAATGGAAGTGTTGACAAGTACCACCAAGAAAGCATATGAAGGTTGCATTAGTTTCAGTTGTTTTATCCATTATTTGCTCTATGCTTTTTTGGCAAATAATCATTTATTTTAAATGTAGAACCAAATGCAGTATGAAAGGTTAAGTAAACGTATCGCTTAAAATCAACAGGGAGAACTCTAAAAGTGAAGAGGAGAGATTTCATTGCTTGCATTCTGCTCCTCAAATGCTTCAATAATGTCCTGTGAAGCAATGGGGATTCAAAAACAGTTGAGACCATTGCTTATATGTTGCATGTACAACATGGGTGTGTAAAGAAACAAGGAACAGCTCAGCTGCATTTCTTGGAAAAACTGGTAAAAGTGAAGGAAGAGGTGACTTCCTCTGACTCCATCAAATTTGCTTCAAAATGAGGTTGGAAGGTCTGCGGACAATGCTGATCAAGCCTTAAAAAATTGTTAGGGACGACCATTTGCTAATTTTGATGTTTGATAAACAACATGGTGATTGTGCTAATTGGCATAGGAAAAAAGGCAATCAAGAAGCTGCACTTTCTTGGAAGAAATCTTGTAACCCTGAGGGGTAAAGAAGAGGAAAAGGTCTGGTTCTGCTGATCGGAAGTGAATAGGTTTCTGCTTCAAAGAATAAATCAAAAATGGTGGGAGGTGATAATCTTTGTGCCCGGCATAAAAATGATGCTAAGTCTGTTAGGTAAGTCTAATGCAAGGGTGATAATATCGGAAGTGTTAGGTATCGGCCAAGTGAAATTGGAAAGCAAACTGAATTAAGACGAAAAGATTCTGAGAAATCAGATCCGAAAGTGGATGCTTCATTTAGCGCTACCAAAGAAATTTTTCCCAGGAAAACCTAATACAGGATTTGGAGGATGGAAATAAAGCTAATACTGTTTGTACAGAATCACGAAATGGCAAATTGAAAGTTTTATCGCCTTCGGTGGGTGAAGAAAAGAGGGAAACACTATCTGGCTCCATAATTGCATGTGAGTCTAAAAGGGGAGATACCTGTATTGAGCACCAAATCCATGCATCCAGCAATGGTGATGTGGGCACGTTAATGAAAATTTCTGCTGATGCCAGAAGCAAGGGTGGGGTTAATTGTGGTTCAGGAATCTCTGGATCTGATTGGCAACTCCCCGTGACAACTCCTGTGAGAACAAATTCTAGCCAAACTGCCTACGACACCCTGAAAGAAGCCACAAACCTAAAAGATAGAGCCGATCATTTAAGGTTACTTGAGCATTTTAAGATTTTTTTTTTTTACCTCGTGTTTTTTGCTTGTACCTGGCATATTTCCTTTATAACAGGTGGTTTAAATGCTGTTTATTTTGTAGAACTCTGGGTTTGAATTTGAAAGTAATGAGACTTTCTTTGAAGCTGCCTTGAAGTTTCTTCATGGAGCGTCACTTTTAGAAAATTTTCTCAAGGAGAGTAGCAAGCATGGGAATATAAGTCAAATGCAAGCCTATATGACTGCAGCTAAACTTTTCACGTAAGCACAATTTTGAAGCTGTAACTTGAAATTTATTATTTTATGTGAGCTTTTGCTTCTTTCATTTATGCTGCTTTTTGCATATCTTAGTGAAAGTACAATATTGAATCTACAACTTGATGGAATTCCAAAAGGAGTAGAAGTTTATTATTAGTTCATCATCTAGAAGAATTGGAACTCATTATTGTGTCTAGGGTTCTTTGAATTATTTTTATCAGCATCTTTCAGAGTTTATCTTTATTCTTAGACTGTATTACCAACAAGGAGAGGAGGCTGCTACAGTATGAGGCACGCACCTTCTATTCATCATATTTTTCTCATACACTAAATCCTTACATGGTATCAAAGCTTCGTAGGAAAGAAAATATGCCCATAGTTGTTCTCTCCAACATAACTTAGTCCATATTGTTTGGTCGCTTTTTCTGAGACAAGTATTTCTGGCGAGGTCCTTTCTCTGTTGGAGAGAGTTACGTTGTCTTCCTCACTTGTCTTGTTCCCTAGGCATTGTTTATCCTTCATCTGCATCTTGAAAGCCTGCCCAAATAAACAATGTCTGCTGGCATCATTGGTGAAAATGCCAAAATTACCTTGGAAACCATACCCTCTTAAAGAAACTGTCTTCTGTGATGGAGCACAAAGCTCTCCATTAGTTCATCTTTCTTTAGTCTCCATTATCTGATGCAGAGGCTCTCCATTAATTTGAGAACCTTTGGTGCATTGGTGGCATGGGGCTATCTTTTGGAATTTTAATTTTGGAAGGAAGCAGCTAAATATAATACAGTATAATTATTTAAATTTTTTTTAATCTATGAGATATCAGTTGCAGTATCTGCTCAGTTCCAGTTGTAAGTACCATTTTTGAACCCTTCGACAATTTTTTTTTTCATAGTTCCTGATTGTGCTTTAGCATATATCAGGAAAGCAATAGGGGCTATTAAGTTTGGGTTTTCTGTGGTCAGGTTTTTGTGTTGCAGTTTATGATTTTTTTCCTTTATCTAGTGTTTACAGTTATTTAAAGTTAAAAAACTAGCTTAAATGGAGTTTGCGTGCTTCAGGAGAGCAATAGGGGCCATTAAGGTTGGGTTTTTCGTGGTCAGATTTGTTGTGTTGCTGTTTATGATTTTTTCCTTTATCTAGTGTTTACAGCTATTTAAAGTTAAAAAACTAGCTTAAATGGAGTTTGCGTGCTTCTATACCATACCTTCAGACCTAGTTGCTTTCTTTGGGGTCTTTTATATACTTTTTTACTTATTTATTTATTTTGATTTGGGGGCATATTCTAAACTTCAAATAAAGATATCTTCACCTCTTATTTTCAATAATAAAATGCATAAATTAGTGATATACATTACTATGAGGTGACGCATACATATTCACCAATAAGTAATAGATTAAGTACCCTATGAAAACGAGTTATAAACATCAGATCAAACATGACTTGAAATAGGACAACATTCGGGAGAGTGACAATTCAAGACCTTATAAGAAGGTTAATACTAAATTGGGACCTCACCGCAACTTAAATTTCCAAAATTCAGTTTTTTATTTTCCCATATTTCAGCATTGAAAATATTTAGAAAGTCCTATCATGATATTAACTTTCTTATGGGGACCTTAGTTGTCATTCTCCCTATTCTTTTCTTTTCTTTTTTTCTTTTTTTAATTTTTTGCCACCTCCTTAATAAGTTATTCCTGGATCTGTCCTTAGGGGGCATGCCATTTATGGGACATGATCTAAACTGTGAGCAATTTATGGGATACAAATGAACTGTCATCTTTTCCTTGAGCAATTTACTTTGGGCCTGCATTTAGCTGTTAAATGCATTTTGAAATGAATTTCAGATCCTGTGCCAATGAATATGAAAGACGCCACGAAACAGCTGCAGCTGCTTTGGCATATAAATGCATGGAGGTTGCATATATGAGAGTGGTTTATAGTAAACATTCTAGTATAAACAGGGATCGGGATGAATTGCAATCAACTCTACAAATGGTTCCTCAAGGTAACCGGATTAGTTGTGAATAATATGTGCTAATGCTTCATGTCTTTTAGTTGTTGATGTATGTTGATTTTGCAATGTATTTTACTTGAATACTTCTTCTGGCAATGGATTTATAAGATTGATGCATCTGGGTATCCAAATTTTAACGGGATATGTTGAAAAGCTATGGGTGTCCTAAATTGTGCAACTAAGTTTTGATATTCCCTCTTTTTTGTAATTTATTTGATGGATGCATGCATTCAATAGTGATACAAGTCAATGATGTATCACTGCATTTTGATTTGTTTTTTTAGGTGAATCTCCTTCATCTTCTGCGTCAGATGTTGATAACTTAAATAATCAGGCACCAGTGGATAGGTTCACTTTGCTCAGGGGTACTGGCACTCATGTTGCTGGTAACCAAGTTATATCTGCTCAACACCGCTCAAATTTTGCCCGTCTTCTTGACTTTGTAAGTTGCAACTTTTATTGATTATTGATATATGCTGTGGATTGTTTGGAAGGTTTTTTCAAGTTTCTTTTCTTGCCAAAAACCATGGAGCATTGCAACTTTTATTGGGGATTAAGGGGTTTAGGAATGCAAGATAACATAAAGGAAATTTAGTTCTGTCCGATATATTAATGTTTAAGAAAAGATCAGTATGGCATTTCAGAATACGTTTCTCAGAAGCAACTATCTATGTCAGGAAGATCTTAGCTCAAACTTATATTTCTTGCAAGTCATGCGCTTTACTGGATGCGTGCTTTGTTAGTGGTAAAGATAGAATGATGAGCTGGTTATTGCTTTTATCATTCTTTTTCAATAGTAAGTACTTAATTGCAAAGTCATTGAGTTTCACTTATTGACTCCACACGAACATGAGAGTTTATTATCTAGTCTGATACCTATAACTTCCTAAATATAGTCCCTATGGATCACAATTAGCGTGTGATTTTGCAGACTCAGGATGTAAATTATGCAATGGAGGCTTCTAGAAAATGCCAATGCGCTTTTGCAGCTGCTAACATGATCATGGAAGAGGCAAGGAATGGGGACTGTATAACTTCTATGAGGAAGGTTATTGATTTGAGCTTCCAGGATGTAGATGAGCTTGTAGGTCTGGTATGGACTGCAACAAAAGCCATAAGCCGTGCTCATCTCAGTGGTGCTAGAGATTAACTTGATACTGTATATAATGTTAGTTTTGGTTTTGCTTCTTTACCAATATGGCATCAGGAAAGGAAGGGGAAAAAGGACATCTTCATAGGTTGGTACTTTGAAACCTGCAAAGAGGCAGGTCACTCTTCTGTACATGTGTACAAAATGAGATTGATTAGCAAATTTTGTAATTTATTATGAATTTTCTCAGGTTCTTGTTGACGTGGGAATGGGCACAATGCTCTCACCCTCAATTTTTTATGGGTTAACATTGGGGATGGGGTTCCTGCTGTCTAAGGGACACAGGATGGACATTTTGTTGGAGTTCTGTGCTATATTCTTTGCTCCGCTGAGTTGGAGCCCTGGGAAAATAGAGTCTGAAAATGTTAGGCAACAATTTTTGAGGGCATTGAATACTCGTATAGTTATAATTGGTCTGTTTTCTTTTTAAAGAAATAGACTCTTCTATTATCTTATGGAATTTTTGAATAGAAGGAACTTGTTGCAGAAAGTTTCCTTTCGTGTATGGGTGTGGGGTGAACCTTTACTTTTCCATGCCAGCTATTGGCTTTGAAGAAAGTACACGCATACAGGTATCTTTTTCCTCTTCATGGCTTCACTTTATCTTGGTTTCATGTCTTTGCTTCATGATTTAAGTCCCTGTATCTTTGTGGGTCATACTGTTGATGATTGAAGCCTAGTTAACCGTTTAAATGGAGAGCAGCAGTCAGCAATCCAAGGTGTATTAGTGCTGGGCACCTTGTGAAGAATATTGGCTGCTAAAAAGCGTGGTTTGATATAATTTTATTTTGATCCACTTATGTATTTTCTGTGATCTTTTCATCTGAACTCATTAACATAGTTATTGGCATGAATTGCAGTAGTTATCTTTTCGTCTTATGCCACAAATTGCGTTATTAAAGCTTCGATGAGGAGTTATACTCTCTATATTGAATGGGTAAATTAATCAATTTTGTAATTTTTTTGTTGTAATTACACACATCAATGTCCTGCTTTTCTTAATTAACCAAGCTTCTGCAGTCTTGATTATGCGGTTATCTCAGGTTTCAGCATATTGTTTCTGTTGATTGGTTGAGTTGGTTTCATTGTCATACACGGCCATGCTTCTAGAAGAATCTTCATCCATTTATTGTTTTTTTGTTTTTAAAGTACTTTTACTATCCTGTTTTCTTTTCCTTTGTTGTCAAATTAGTTAGCATAAGAATAATTTTAATTTTTCTTGATTTGCTCTGCTGGGATTTGATTGGACAAGGTGTGGCTAGACAGCATTGAACTCTGGTTTCCATAGTTAGAATATTTTGCAGTAATTTTTTATTTACGGGAAATTACATTAAAGGATCCAAATTGGATAAAAATCAAATTGAATTATCTCAATAATTACTCCCAATGATCAATAGCTACTATTAAGATTTTAGTAGGGATTTAAGGTTTAAAGGCTACTATCAAAATTTAGGAAGGAAAGTTACTGTAATTTTGACAAGTTCTTTTAGGAAAGTTAACAATATTTCTAAAAAACTTTAGTTGATAATAGAGCACAATGATGTTGTGCAATCTATATAGTTAATTCCACTTAGTGGGATAATGTTTATTGTTGTTGTACTATAACTTTGACAGCATGAGCATCTTTTTTAAAATCTGATGGTTACTGTTGAGAATCTTTCAGGCCATTTTTGGTACAAATGAAAGGAACGAGTTACGCAGGAAGGGAGCTAAGAGAACGATGCTTCGTGCAGCAGATCTAGGCTTCTTAGAGATCCATGCTCCCTTCAAGGAAAAGGTCTTCTTCCTTTTGGTTATGGAACTGAGTTTCTTTCATGGAATCCAAAATTTATCCTCATTTTCCCGAGTTATCAATTATCCTAACCATATTGCCCTTTGTTAAACCATTGAAAAGCCCTTCTTTTGTTACATCTAGTTGCTAAGGGAGTGACGCCAGTGGGGATTGTGTTCAACACCGCCAGTTTATCCCAGATAAAGCCCGTGCTCAACCATTGCTGGCTTCTCTCCAGATTTGTCGAATTCAGACGAAGCCCCTTGACGCTGCTGTTTCTGAACTCAATCTCTGTGATGTTCGAGGTTTGAAGTCATGAAGCTTGTGGCCTTAATGCCTTTATCCTTCTCCAGATCCTTCCAATGATTTTGTTTTAGTGATATTTTTGTGTGTAATTTTTAGGGATAAACATGTCACTATATTATTTTTCCTTTCCAGTTTTTCATGCCTCCATGCTGAGCGATGTAACTCTTTCCTTTTCATTCCTATGAAACACATTTTCGACATGTAAAAAAGGCTTTCCTCGAAACCTTTTTCCTTCCCCTAATCCCCTCCTATTTCCTTTATCGCAAAAGTGAGTCCTTCCTGCCAAACATGACCTTAATATGACTTTTGATATGTGTTAGTCCTTAGATGTAATTTTTCCTTTTATTTCATTCTAAACAGCCCTCCATGCATTAATTACCTATGTGCATTGTACGCACATCAGAGGTTTGTAGCAAATCTGGCCAAAAAAGGAGTAACAAACTCTGCCAGAGGACATCAGTCTCGTGCCCCAGAATCTTTAATTGAACTTAAGAGAATGTAATTGTTATGAAGGCCCTCTTGTTTTCTATAAATGATGTTTGTTATGCTCGAACAATTTATTATTCAATAATATTTAGTTTTATATAAAAAGAATGTCATCTTTTTAACTTCTAAATATCATGTTCATTTTACTTTCATTGTCTTCAGTGCATGTCCAACGATATTGAACCATGCGTGAAATGAAATACTAACATAAGTCTTATTATTGGCCCTTTAATACATCAGAACATTCCCAACAACTCTACCATTTCCTATCTTATGTATTTTGAAAGCTTGTTCTGATTACAAGAGTGGAAAGTGTAGCTCAAACAATTGAGACATACTAACATGAAATGATCACCGTCCATCTGCAATCTCAAATGCAATTTGTTTCTGTATGGTATCATAGCTAGTTGAATTGCTAGCACTAGCATTCCCATATCCATCAGCAATATGACCAAGCAAGTATTCACATTCTTCTGACACCATATCCTTGCCCTTTACCCAAGGATGCTTTTCCATGGCAATCAAACCTTCTAATTCCATCGCTACTTCTTTCATAGTTGGCCTTTCCTCTCCATTAACTCTAATGCACCTCCTTGCTAAGAAAGCAACTTCCTTTAGTTGTTCTGCATTCTTCTGATCCAACACTCGCTTGTCAAGAATCTCCCATAACTTGTCTTCTTTCATTGAAGCCATGAAGTACATTGCCAAATTTCTCTGTTCTGGCCTACTGAATTCAACAGCTTTATTCCCAGTGAGTAACTCTACAAGCACGACCCCAAAGCTATAAACATCACTTTTTTCATTCAACAGACCTGTAAGAAGGTACTCTGGATCTAGATATCCTAGTGTCCCTTGAACCATAGTAGTAACTTGAATTTCATCAAGTGGAACAAGTCTTGAAGCCCCAAAGTCAGAAACTTTTGCTCTATAATCATGATCTAATAATATGTTGGCAGATTTAATATCTCGATGAATGATTGGAATAGAAGCAGCAGAATGTAAATATGAAATAGCTTCAGCTGTTTCTGCAGCTATTCTTAATCGAGTCTCCCACGAAAGAGAGTGCTCATTCTTTAGTGGGTCTATATGGGAAAGAAGGGTGCCATTGTCCACAAATTCGTAAACTAACAAAGGAATTTCTGTTTCAAGACAGCACCCAAGAAGTTTAACTACATTTCTATGGTTAATTTGAGAAAGCACAGCCACTTCATTTATAAAATCCTTAATTTGTTCGGGACCTCCTCCTATTTTGGATTTTTTAATGGCAACAGGTGTGCTATCTGGTAATATGCCTTTGTAAACCGTGCCTTGTCCTCCACGACCAAGGATCCTGCTTTCATCAAAGTTGTTTGTGACATTTTTAAGCTCCTCTTCAGTAAATATTTTGGTTCTATCCGTGTATCCTTGTTGGTGGTGAAGCTGTTGTAACATATTCCCCCCATTTTGCTCAAAGTATCTTCTCCTAAGTTGTATCAGTGCTCTTTGCTTGTGACCCCAACATAGTGTGGACACCAGTGTGAAGACAACAAGTAAGGCTATAGAAATGCCTGCAACCAAAGTTGTTTAAATTATTATATAGGAGAAACAGGGACGAACCTACTTGGTAGCTAGAGGGGGTAAATGCCCCTACAAGAAAAGGAAATAAAATTGTATGAAATGACCCAAAAAATTTCTTTGCCCCCTAGAAAAAATTTCAATTGCGCCTTTTTTTAAGGAAAAAAAAAATTTGCCTCTTTGAAAATTTCACTTTTCTCCCTAAAAATTTATTTAACTCAAATCTAACTTATATATTATAATTTCAAATAATGATATAGTTTGAGAATGAAGGAATAACAATTAAAAAATAATTTTTTATTTGTTTAAATAAAAAAACTTATCACGAAATTCCTCTATTACTGCACAAAGTGGTTAAATTTTATTTATATTAGATAGTTTTATTGATACACCATTATAATTTTATGTTTTATGCCTTATTCTCTAATAATTATTTAATTTTTTTCTCTAATTTAATTAAATTTAATTTAATAAATACTTAAAATTATTTATCTTCAGTAAAATTTTCGCTCCCACTCCTTAATTTTTCCGGGTCCGTAACTGAGGAGAAGAAGACATGCAAATTAACCAATGCTTCTTTTCAGATCTCTCTTCAAAAGTATAACCTCATCCTTTTATTTATTTCCCCATTTGATTTAATGATAAGAAAAGCACTTATCATGGCATTAGAACAAATATAATATTGATCTAATCAGTTACTGCTATAAAAGAAAGCATTAACAGATGATGAAGAATATTGAGCAAACGTTAATTAAAGGTTTATTATCCTTACCTAATGAAATTTCCAAGACAGGGAATTTGCAGCCTGAGCCGTTAACATAGCCGTCGCCTCTATACCACAGCGGACAAGAACAAGTATAGCCACCATTGTGGTTGTGGCACCTCATGCTGCAGTTATTCTGCCTGGCGCACTCATTAGTATCTGAAATAATTAATCACACACCAAAACTAATCTTTTAAGAACAACATTGTTCTTAAACAAGCAATCGTGGACAAGAGTAAGAAAAAAAGTGAGAACCAGCAGAAAAAAGGTGAGCTATTGATCAAATAAAACTCTAAACTTTGGGCTGCACAGGACTTGATGGGTGTGTATATAGAGCCGGTAGTAATTCTGGATAAGCTTGAAAAATTTTAGGACTGGATTTCAGAGTTTAGAGCCAGACTTGCTTATATTTGGGTATTTGAAGACCGGCTCTCGTGTATATAGTAAGTAAACATGACTGACAGTTGAAACTGACCTTTGCAGCCAGAATCGGGGTCAGAGAGGTAGGGGTTGCCTTTGAAGCCATCTTCACATACGCAAAGGTACCCATTACCACTCACTGAGTCCTGGCATTTGCTGTTCTGCTTGCAGGCATAACTGCTTAGAGTATTCTTGGCTTCGTCGCATGTCCGATTGTCAACAGCCCAATCAATGACGACAGGAAACCTTGTTCTGTTGCTGAGATTAAGGAGGTCCTGAGATGTAAAGTTGAAGGATCCTTCCTGGGCGAGAAATGCATAGCCGCAAGGGTTGAAGTCCCAGACATCCTCGTACTTGTCATAAGTTCTTAAGGTGATAGTATAGTTCCTGATGGCTTTGGGAAAACTGGTCTGGCAGCATCCCACACCAGAGCACGACCCGTTCTCAAAGGTAGTCTTGTTACTGCAGCTCAACGAGCAGCCAGTTTGAAACCTGCTTCCGTCCAAGTCTCTGATGTGGGCGTAGGTGTCACAGCCCACCACAGTGAATCTGTTCTTTGTGTTGGATATAGTGAACTTCCCAAACCACATTGAGTACCATGAATCATTTCTCTTGGAGTCATAACAATTCCTGGAAACGTCTGCCGAGACGGTCAATTCAGCAGGATCCAGGGAGATGTTGAGAACTGGTATACTGCTGCGAGTCAAATACGCTATGGGTTCTCCAGACGACGTGGTTGTGCAGTTGATAAAGAACCTTTGGTCGATGTAGCAGCTTTTGCTAGTTCCAAAGGGATAGGGGATGCTCACGTTCCCACACGAGCTGCTGCAACCAGCTTTGGTTTGGGCAGCGGAGACGGCCGCCGTGCAGACGACCAGCAATACCAGTTTCAGAAGCAGTGCACTGTTCAAGCCCATCACTGTGACGGATATATGGAGGATTTTTAGTGTGGGCATATGCGGGAAATAAAGCTGGTTAAGATCGTTATATGATCATCCCTGCTCGCGCGCGTTTAAATCCCTGATCATTCGAGTACACGAAGCTTCATCTGTAATGACGCTCATAGACGGAGGAAGAAACTTAGTCGTTACATGGGCAGCCTCTTACTTTTCTTCACGCGCATCCGATCGAATACATGTCCGTCGTATAAATGCCAGACAAGATGGTAAATAGTACGATAATTTAAGAATGGTTTACTATAATTTAATCATCCGATCATTTTTTTTTTAATATTCCCATGCATCTATGTAACTTGTCTTGTACAAGTCTCATACTAATACTATGCAGGTTCAATTATTCAACTAGATGGTACGTAAATTTATTTTGATAAAGAATTTTGAGACAACATTGTGATGTGAATAATGTAACTTTTCATAAATCTCATATCAAATACTCTCTATTATTTTAACTAATTCATATGGATTACAAATGATTATTAAAAATAATAATAGGCTCGGAGGTGATATGCTCTTAAAATCAATTTTTTTTAGAAAAATTGATAAAAAGGACCAAGTTGGAAAGCAAATTAGTCTCAGGGACCAAATATTTTTGAAAGACTAAACTAATTATTTTATTGAAAAAAGGATGAAAGGAATTGACCAAAATGCCCTGGAAGAAAACATACAGATCGGAGACGATTTCAACACCCCTACTTCTCATTTCCTTCGTCTTTCACTTTGATTTCTTGGCTCTCGTTGTTGGTGTTCTCATTTCCTTCGTCTTTCTCTTCACCCTCAACATTTGGCGTTCGGCGTTGACTCTGATTCACCTCCATGGGTCTATCGCGAATGATTCAATGCAGCTTCTCTCTCTCCTTCCCCACTCGATTCAGGTGAGTAATAGATTTAGCTGGCTGAGTAATTACTTAATGTGAAGAAAATGAATTCGTAAAAAGAGTACGAATTATGAAAAAAAATAGAACAACTGAAGAAAAATCTGACCATATATAGTTCCATTTAATGTAAGACCTGAATGCCCATGTTCCTCTTAAAGTGACTAAAATTAAACTTCATTTCTTTTACATTCATTTATGCACACCAGTGAAGCATGTTCCTATTGAATGCTCATCAACTGTTGCCTTTACTCTTCTTTGCAATCTACAAGTTTTTGGTCACACCTTCCCCCTACTCGTTCTACTGATCTATCTGCAAGTTTTGTATTGATTTGATTTGAGTGCTCTGTGAATCTAAGTTTTTTGAATTTTGTACGGTTTGTTTCTTTTTAGTGGGAGTTTGCAAATTAAAGTCTTCTATGCTGAATTTTTGTTAGAATTGTGAAATTTGAGCTTGCTGTAATTGTGAAATTAAGCTTGTTGTAATTGTTGGTTTGCAAATTAAAGTCTTTTATGTTGTAATTGTTGGAATGATTATTTTGAGTTTTACACTTTTTGTTGATTAAAGGATTATAAAGATGAAACAAAGATAGGCTGTTGTAGCTGTTGAGACAGCATCCAAAACCATTGCTAAGATGCAAAACACTTCTAAAGATTTAGAATCTTCTAAAGAGATGGAAGGGGAAGATGTAGCTTAATTGGAAGGGAAAGTAAATATGAGAATGACAAACTATGAAAATCTACTTTGGAAAAATTGGAGAAAGCTAGCTATGAGTCAGTACTTAGCTAGGCAGGGCAAAAGAGGACTTTTTTGTTTTTCACCCAATGATGTTGATGGTAGATCTTTAATGGATTCCATATAAGAGCTAATGAGTTTCTTTGTTTACAAATGCTTAGCCATTGTTAATGTTGCATTTTCTTTCATTCCCAAGGTCTATGGTTTGAAATTGGATTAGTAAATATGCAATTTATAGTTTGCAATCTCTTCTTGAATTTTAGATTTATATATTTGTTGCCAAGTTAGTTACCTACTTGCCTATGAAATTATTGCTTGATAAAGGCCTTGAACCTATTCTCTTGTACATAACCAATTGTCTCTTCTAGTTGTGAATTATTCTATTTTAGTTTAGGCTTTGGAAATCAGGTTAAATTGATGCATGAGCCATTTGTGTTGTTATTTGGGTTATGCTGATGCTTTGTATTCCTAGTTTAATAAATAATTAAATGTCATATTTGTTGACATTCTGATAAGTATGCATTTCTCAACTCAGGAAATTTTAGATAACTCTTCATAGTGTTGCTTCTCTAGGCTGCACTTGTAAGTTGATGCTTGTGGTTATGTGAAATTTTTGTTAATTCCCATAGCTCACCCTGTTGATTTGATTTTACTGCTGTCAGGTAAATAACAAATGTATCAACCAAAGATTGTTTCTAATTCAAGTCTAGCTAACAACAATTTATTAGTTAATGGCCAGCATTTTGATTGTTGTGGTAGTGCAATAGATCTTCACATCTGATGCTGGTTTCTTCTTTTTCGTTGATGCTGTAGCATATCTTGGAGGATCAAATAGTGAGTCTTCTTTTTCTATTACTGCTTAACAGGGACTGGTTTCTTCTTCTTGTTCTCTAAATCATATTTATGGCAATGTTTTTATTTAGTAAAGTGTAAATATTAGGTTGCTCAATGACTATCAAAATTAATTTGCCTCGCTAAGTTACTTAGTTTTGTTACCTTAGATTTAGTTGAAAGCTATCAAGCACGGCATTGATGACTCAATCTAAAATTTAAGAAAAATGTTTCATGCCATCAATTTTTGCTTCATTGATTTATGGGTGTAAGGCTTCTAGCTTAAGATGCACTTTTTATGGCTTGAGGTGCAAGGGATATAATTTGGATGCAAAAGGTATAGCTTAAGTGCAAAGCTTCTGGTTTGGGTGTAAGGGATCTAGTTTAGGGTGCAAAGCTTCTGGCTTAGTCATTTCCGTGTAATTCATAATTATTTTCATGTAATTCAGGGGCACTGACAATGGTTTACATGTAATTCACTCGATATAACATGTAAATTATTCCTCAGACATATTCGTGAATTTTTTCATATATTAATTTACACATAATCCATAGTCATTTTTATGTAATTTAAGGGCATTAATAGGGGCGTGCTCTCTATGTTTTTAATTTAGTTGTAATTTGCTAGATATTACATGTAAATCATTCCTTAGTCATGCTCATGAGTTTTTTCACATATTGATTTACATATAATTTATAGTTGTTTTCATGTAATTTTGAGGGATTGACAAGGGTACTCTTTGTGTGTTTGATTTACATATAATCCGCTAGAGATTACATGTAATTGTCTAAGCCAGAAGCCCCAAACCAAAAGCCTTGCACCCAAACCAGAAGCCTTGCACCTTAAGCTAGAAGCCTTGCGCCCTTTGGTTGTTGAGTTCACATGTAATCCTTGATGATTAAATGTAATCAAGGGGTTTTGAATTTTTTTTGCCAACCCTTCACCTGCTAACAAGAGCTCTGGCAAGCACGCTGTCAATTATCGAAGTTGTGGCCGATCTAGCAATCGAGTTTTGTGCCCTTTTCTTAATTTTTTTTAGTTAACATGGAAGGGCATTTTGTTATTTAATCAAATTATTTTATGAATAAAATAACAGGCTTGGTCCTTTCATCAACTTTGATTCTTAAGCACAATTTTGGTTCTAACCTGATTCTTTTCACCAATTTTCCCAAATTTTTTGGGCTATTTTATTTATTTATTTTCTTAAATAAAGACTTGTCTTAAAGTCTTATGAAGACTTGTCTTAAAGTCTTCCAAAGATGCAAGTGGGGGCCACGCGCATGGCAGATGGTGGGCCTGATCACATGAGAAAGTAGAGACTTGAGAGTACTTGCATTGCATAATTATTAAATTGTTTTGCATCTCCGCGAGTCATCTCACTGGGTAGGTTTTGACCTAGTCAAACACCCCTCAATCATTTTTAATATTTTGATCACTTTATAAGTTATTTTTATTAATTTTATTAATATCAACAAAAAAATATAAAAAATAAAAATATATAAATTTTAAATATATTTCTATATGATAATTTTAAAAAATAATATTATGATAATTTTAAAAATATTATTTAAATATTACTTAAAAAATTATATTATAATTTATAAATGAGATTAAATAAATATTTTAAAATATAATTTATAAATGAAATCGGAAGGAGTACTTTATAAATTTTCACTTATCAATAATACATGACTAACACTATTCTTTGTCATATTATCAATGTATCGTTTAACGTTGTTATAATCTTCATTCATTTCTAACGAATCTTAACTATGGGGAATGTGAATTAAAAAACTAAAATTGCCTAATCACCAAAAAAGGAAATTATTGAAAGCATTGTTATATTGCACAGATCTAAATCCCACACCTGCAAACCTTGAAAACAAAAACATACACAGCCATTAATATGGTGATTTATGGAGAAGACACTTAAATTTCAGGTCAATATTCCAGAATATATCCTCAAACGATAGTCAAAATGATCCAGCCTAGAGAGGAATACAAACTTCTCCCCCAAAAAAAAACAAAGAATATAAAAGAAGAAGAAGCCAACCGAGTAGAAGAAAAAGGAGGAGGAGAAAGCATCTGAGAGTTCTGAAGAAAAAGAAGAAGGAAGATGCCAAGAAAGAGAGAGGAACGAGATGAAAAGGAAGAGGGATGGGGTTGAGTGGGTGTGTTGACAGTTGATTGATTGCATTTCCTTTCCCCACCTTGTATTTTAGCCCATTGATAAGAAATCTTATTTACAGCCAAATCTCTAAGATCTCATAACCAATTTATGCATTGGGTGAGATTTTTGAATAGTTAGAATGCTTACAGTATACTTTACAGTGATTTTCCAGAATTACTCTGTTTGAGTCTATTTCTTTTTCTTTTTTCCTAAAATTACGAGCAAACTAATTTCCACAAGAATTTAAATATTATATATCTTTTAGACACCTAAACACTAAAGTCAGTAATTTAAGCTAGATCAAATAAATTCAACAATTTTAAAGCAAGACTTAAGAAAATATCTCATTTTTCCCCAAAAAAAAATAAATTGGGCCAACATATTCGAATATATTTTCCTTATTATACACCAACAAACAAACACACGTGTCTGCGTGTGTGTATTTTATTTTAAGATATTTTCAATTATTTTACACATTTTAAAAAAATTAATTTTTTTTGATATTAT